GTTTAGGGCTTTATATGTAATCATAAGAACTTTGAAACCAATGCAAGGTGGCCAGTGTGGGGAAAATATGTTGGTATCTTTTCATCCCAGTTAGAAGTCTGGCCGCCGCATTTTGTACCATCTGAAGTTTCTACATCAGTCTCAAAGACAACCCCACATAGGGTGCATTACAGTAGTCCAATCTTGAGACTATGAGCGCATGGACCAAACTGGTGAGCACCCCCACATTAAGATAGGGACACAGATGCACAATCCACTGAAGGTGGAAATCTGTGGAATGGACCACTGACGACACCCGAGTCTCCATGGTGAGCATTGGATCCAGATGTACACCGAAGCTGCAAACCTCACTCTTGGTGGTGTCACCCCCCCAAAGGAAAGGGAGTTTCCCAGACTGCTGATGTCTGGGGCACCCATTCAAAGGACCTCTGTCTTGCCCTGATTCAGCCTCAGTCTGTTCACCTGCATCCATTGCTGAACAGGCCCCAGGCAGCGCTCAAGGGACAAGACAGCATCCACTGTTGTTGGAAAAAAGGAGATGTAGAGCTGAGTGTCACCAGTGTACTGATGACACAAAGCCCCACATTCCCTGATCCTCCCAGTAGACTCATATAGATATTAAACTGCATTGGAGAGATAATCAAGCCCTGCGGAACCCTACAATTGAGGCTCCATGGGGCCAAGGAACTCTCTCCAATCTGCACTCTCTAGGACAGTCCTCCAAGAAGGAACAGAGCCTGGCAGAAGACTGGCCATCGATTCCCAATTCGGAGAGCCTCCCCAGGAGAATACCGTAGTAGGCTGAGATATCGAGGAGGACCAGCAGAGACGTTTTGCCCCTGTCGGACTCCCCTAGCAGGTCATCAAACAGGGCAACCAATGCTGTTTCCATACCATGGTGTGGCCTGAAGCCCGACTGGAATGGATCCAAGTCATTGGTTTCATCCAGAAAAGCCTGCACCCTCTCAACTGCCTTGCTGAGGAAAGAAACATTGGCGACAGGCCTATAATTACCAATCGCATCTGCCGCCAAGCTCAATTTGTTCCTAATGGGCCTAATGAGCGTCTCCTTGAGGGCAATGTAGAGACCCATTAATTATTGCCATAGCCCATTCAGTTGTTATCGGCCTGGCTGCTTTGATTAGCCAGGCTGGTCAAGGGTCAAGGGAGGAGGTGGTGGCACAACAGCGGTCAAGCACTTTGTCCACAATGTCTGATGTCACAGGCTGAAAGTAGTTAAGTCTCATTGGGCAAGGCGGAACACTGGACGTCTCAGCTCAATCCACTGTTTTCAAATAGGGAGCAAGATCCCGGTGGATGGCCTCCACTTTTGATTTTTTTAAAGGCTGCAAAATGGTCAGGTGAGATGCCAGTGGGAGGCCAGTCACTATGACTAACTCCAGACAGATCGCGAACTATACGGAAAAGTTCCGCCTACTGGTTGGAGGCTTCGCTTATCCGGGCAGCGAAGTACGGTTGACTAACAGCCTTCACCTTAGATTGGTAGAGGTTAGTCGTGATCCTGACAGTTATTTGATTATTTTCCATTGGGTTCCACCTCCATATGCGCTCTAGCCTTCTCCTATTTCGCTTCATTGATCGTAGCTCTGGATTAAACCATGGCAAAGGACTATCTCTGCACCAGAGAGGAAGTTTAGGTGCGATCGTGTCAACAGCCCTGGTGGCGGCAGCCAGCCAGCTATCAAGCAGGGTCTCGACAGGAGCACCAGTCAAATCAGCCGGAATCCCTCTCATGGTGTCCTGGAATCCTATAGGATTCAATAACCTTTGAGGGTGAACCATTAATACAGGTCCTTGCTCCCCACGGGGAGGAAGAGCCACTGCAAGACTGCATTTAATTGAGCAAAGACTTATAACTGGTAACTGCTATTTCCAGTGTTATTTCAATGCTGTATGCGAAGCTGGAGTGTCCTCTTCAGAGCACAAAGCATGGGTAAAATAATATGGAGGATAGGCTGTTACCCAAGCAGCAAATCCCCCCTCTCCACATCACTGAAATAGTCCAGTAGAAAGACAAGAGCCAATACAACTGGTTCCAGCGACGTCGCAGGAGTTGCCAGAATAGCACAAACTGCCTCCAAGACTCCGGCTCCTAATTTTGCCTCAAGGTTAATTCCTGAAGCCTTTTCCATCACAGGATATAGCCATAAGGCAGTGGAGGTTTGAAATCGGAGTTTTCCTTCTCAAAGATGGGCTGCCTTCCAAGGATGATGAGCCCCACCTACCTGGGCTGCTCCCTAATAGTGCGAAGATTAGAAACACAGGCCTCCAGCTGCCGGACCTTGTCTTCCAAGAGGACCACCAACTTACACTTAGAGCATTTGTACCCAGGCACCTCATTTGGCAATGAAACAAACATGCCACAGGTGTTGCAAGTGCAACAGATCCTGCACTCTCCATCTTGGCTGATGTTCAGTGAATTAAAAAGAGAGGACGGCTGATCTTCCCCCTAAAACTTTCCTGTCCCCCCAGGTGTATGCACTCCTATTTGTCTTTCCTATTTACCAAGTTAGAGTCTAAAAAAATAAAATCAAAGAATAATGGCACGCGCTTCTGGTAGCACTTATTTAAAGCTAAAACCCGTCCCCTCAGACCATGTGGTCAAGGAGAACTAAGGTCAGACCATATGCACCCTTAGAAGCCTAAAAATCCACAAGCCTAGAAAAAGAATGCCACACCAAATAAAATGTCCTCTCAGACACAGCAGTGATGGAAAGAAGTAAGGAAGTGCACACAATATGGATACTTGTGCTTATTGTGCTGTCATGTATCCTTCATTGGCATTTAGGCTTCTTATAGTTATCTGATCATGTCCATTTACAGACACATTTGAATGTTTGACCCTAAGGCTGCATGACAAATTGCTGCATAAAGGCCACCAGTATGACTTGGACTTCATTAGTTGCTTGTGCAGCTCATGTAAACCTTCATTTTTTTGTAGTTTAAAAATTCACCTAGAACAGTAATGTTGCTGAAATTTAGAATTATTAGGTTCAATTAGAAATCCATTCATTTTTTTATTACACAGCTGTACTATAAAGCAGACTTTATTCAGCTCAAGAATGTTAAAACAGGTCATGTCAGCATTCTGCAGACAATGGCCAGAATCCTATCGACACTCACATGTCAAAGCCTGCTATTGCAAATGGCAGCTGATTGACAAAGTGCTGAGGTGTGTTTTGGTCATGCATGCAGTCATGTGCCAGATTACAAAACTGAGATACACTTCCTCAGTTAGCTACAATTAGCTGCAGCAAGTTAAGCACACACAGGGGAGTGTGTCTTTGCCAAGAAAGTGGCAGAGAAGCATTTAGTTCAAGGTGGGACAGATATGAGTGATCCTCAGATACGTTCCATTGTCATCTTTGTGCAATCCAATCAGACCATGGGGCCAAAAAAGATGGTGAAGAAGGCACTTTTTCCCCGAAGAGCTGACGTGTGAGAGAAGGACAAGCATGGCATCAGCACTCAGACTGACACTGTCAGCTTGTGCAGCAGCAGTGCTGCTGCTTTTGTGGTTATCAAGAGCACCAGATATTGCCTTCCATATCCATACCATGCAGCTCCATCTTATTCAAGGAAGAGTTTGCCTTCAGCCCTGATTCCCAACAAATCTCTCCTATGCAAAGTAGTTTGCCCATTACAGTTATTTCCTAATATCTAGACACTGCTGGCTGTCAGTGTGCACTCCTTTTGTTTGGCACAATCATTGGGAAAGCATCAGAGAACACAGGAAAATCCTTTAAAAGTGCTTTCCCAACTTGTTCTCTTTTTCTTCCTATGGGGAAAATAACTATTCTGTAGTATTCATATTGACTGTAACAGATTTCTGGATATCCAGAAATTCTAGATTTTTAAAATTCTGATTTACAAATCTGAATTTTAGTGCTAGTGTACATCCCTACTTTTAACACTCTTTTGTTCTCAACTGTGTTCACCCTAGTTTACTGTTCATTTCTTTGGTTTAAATAAGAAAAGTCACCTACTGCTCTTAAATGCATCAGTAAAATTCAGATTGCTCCATTAATGCACTAATAATGAACCCCAGGGAAGGAGCAAATTAAAACTATTTTTCAAGGATTCCATTTATCTCCCAAAGGGGAAACTGCAGTAGTCATAAAATATGAGGCTAAGATGGTAGCTGGCAACTTGGCAAGCACAAGTTTAAACCTATCACATTTTTGCAGTTTCACTCCTTGGAGAAAACTGCAGAAAATCTGCACAGAGTATTTATTAAATAAGATAAGGATGGCAAACTTGAGGCTGTTCAGATGTTGCAGAATAGGTATTCCTGCTATTTATTCGTTTATTTGCAATATGCAAGTACCACTTTCCTTCAGTAAACCCAAAACAGCAGACGGTCCTCTCTCCTCTACTTTATTCTCACAACTATGTTACAAGGCAAGTCAGTTTGAGAGAGCATGGTGCCAGTCCGACAGATGTCACGCTGGCAACTACATCACATTGTTTATGTCACCTAGGCCTGTTGGGATTTGCAGTCAAGCAACATCTGGCAGGCAACATCTAGAAATCCCTAGGATGGTTTGGTTAACAGCATTCTACTCCGTATTTCAGAACAAAACCTAAGACCAGATGCCAGGCCTTGGAGACATCATGGGGTGGTATGTGCAGGTGTTGAGAACCCTCCCCCCAAACCTGCTTCTAGGTCAGCTGGCCATAGAAATGGATACAATAGGGATCAATAGGGCTTTTTTTTTCTTAGCAGGGAATGTGGACTGGGACACCTGGTTTTTGCTGATCCCCCTAAATGCTTTAACTTTCCCATTCTGTTCTGGGGGGGGGGTCCCCCCCAAGGCTCAAGTGCAGGTTTTCAGGAGACAAGCAGAAGGACTGGGGAAAATCAGATGCTACAACATGCGTGAGTAGTAGTGTGTTCCACTAAGGCAAAAACACTGTCAGCTTACAAACCCTTCGTAAAGAACTACTAAGCAAGATTTAATCTGTTAATTGTTCTACAGAGATCCCAGAAGATCCACTCATTGCAGAAGAGTATTATAATGATGTCTTTGATTCATGCTCTGAAACAAGTGAGGAGGAGGCAGAGGGAGAAGGAAGAGAAGAAGGAACAGGAAGAGGAGGAGGAGGAGAGACTATATCACAGAATATATCACAGACTGTCTATAAAACAAATCAGCAGGTATACATTTCAGTGTTTGCAATATGACTCAGTACAGAGGACAGCTATTATAGTTGAGAGGCACAAACAATATGGAAAAGTCACTTTGTAGAAAAGCCAGCTAAGGATAAATTTGTATTGCTGGTTTATGGCTTTAGGGAAAATCAAGAGCATGGCAAGTAATCACATATTGGTATTTGGTAGGTTGCATACCCTCTTCCAGCTCAGGGGCCTTGCTACAGTTATTTTCTATGAGAAAAACTGTTTTAACTTGTGAAATCCATCTGATTGTGCGACTAGGTGCTTGCTTCTTCACATAATATCTACCACAACCTCAAACAAACAAACAAACAAACAAAAAACGTTTTTGCCTACAACTTCCATATTGCACCAGCCAGCATGGCCATTTGTTGTGCTGGCTGGGGGATACTGGCAGACAACAAACAAACAAACAAACAAAAAACATTTTTGCCTACAACTTCCACATTGCACCAGCCAGCATGGCCATTTGTCGTGCTGGCTGGGGGATACTGGCAGATGAAGCAGGGGAACATCTTCCAAGCTCTTCTGTTTACACATGGACAATGTGCCAAAAAAGATGTGAAATATATTTGCTTTGCCTTGAAATACTTGTTGGAAAAAAACAGAGGGCATTTGCAACCATATTACTGTAATTTGTCTACAATATATGGACCCTAGATGTTATTTCAGATTTAATCAATGCAGCACTTATGTATATGCAATTTATGCCCCACCACATGTACAAAAGAAGATCTAGCAAATGGCCAAGATACAGCAATGGAAGTATTCCACTTCTGGTCAAAAATAGTCTAATTATCTTAACATTTTAATTTGCTTTTAATTTTACACATATTTCATATACATCAGATTTCAGAGTAAAGTTGTTAAGTGGAGGTACACAATTTCAAAATAATTAAAAACAAAATATGCTGTACCAATCTGCACTCAACCCTGAAACCCAAAACAAAAACCATAACAGAACTGAGAACTGATCCTAGATCAAGGTGCTGGTTTTTATCTTGGGGTAGCCACACTTAGTCATACAAAACACAATTTTGTTAAAAGCGTTAGTACTCTAGAGAATGAGTATTATGTTGAAAACCCTCTGATATATGCTGTAAATTATATGGTGTTCACTTTAATCAGTAAAAGCAAAGCAAAGTGTGTACAAATGCAAGTACTTACTTGTATTTTACCCGTATGCATCCCAGCTAACCAAATTTTTCTTTGACTCCCATACATAGTCACATTCATAATTAAGTGTGACAATCAGTTGTGATTTGAACAGACTGACTGCTCTTATGTCTTTCAAAAGGCATATGATATAAATAGAATATTTAACAATGTAAAATAAACTCGGGGCTGGCAATTGGCTTCAGACCGCATGTCATTTTGTCATTTCTTTCTGGTTTACATTTCTGTGACAAGAAAAAATAAGACTGGAAGAAGTAAATGCCATTTTATTGACACCTCAGTCAGAATTTGATTCCATGATTTGTGCCTATTTATGTTCCACCCTGTGCATGCACATAAATTTCATTGTCATTAATGGATGAAGCTGCCTACAATGAGACAAGTGCATTAACACTTTCACATTTAGCACCATGTCAATAAGACGAGACAGTGTCATCACCTTTCATTTCCATCAGCATCTTTGATTCTGTTTTTCTTCATTTCTGTTCCTCACCATCAAACTAAACCTGGCTGTTAATTTTCTAACATGAAAATACTATGAGTTGTTCAAAAATCGCTGTCACTGCTGAAAATGTTTAAATATTTCTAATATTATTTTAGAAAATAGTCAGCTATGGAGGGTTAGAGTTAGGCACAATCCCTTTTCTGTTGGCAGAAATCTCCTTCCAGTGACAGAAACGCCCTTTTCACCAACCACATATTCTTCTGCTGTTTAGTCCCAGAGATCTGCAAACACAGCCATCCGCCAGCAGAACTGCTCTGCTGACAGAGATGTGCTGGCAGAAGAGCCCAGTGGAAGAGTTTAGGTGAGGAAGCAACTGAGTTACTCCAGATTCAGCCCTTCTCCAGTACAGTGGTGCCTCGCTTAACGGCGATAATCCATTCCAGGAAAATTGCTGTTAAGCAGAATCGTCGTAAAGTAAAAATAAAAAGGCAATTGAAACGCATTGAAAACCATTCACTGCGTTCCAATGGGCTAAAAACTCACCCTTTAGCGAAGATCCTCTATACGGTGGCCATTTTCGGTGCCTGTATAGCGAGGAATCTGTCCCTAAACACAGCGGGGAACCATTTTAATTACCTGGCGGCCATTTTGAAACCGCGATCAGCTGGTAAAAAGTGATCGCAAAAACGTTGTCATGAAGCAAATTCGTCATAATGCGGGGTAATTGCAAAGCAGGGCACGACTGTACAAGGTCAAAACAGCATGTTGTGGGTAGTCCTAAGTCATCTTCAACACATCCAAGGTTAAGAGGCAGCTGAATTTACTTTAGCTACCAGGATAGCACTGCTAGCTTCTGGTGAAGTGCATGTGTGGTAAATTAGGAGCCTTGATCTTTTTAGGGGCTCATAATCTTTCTTGTATTCTCTTTAGCTTCAGGTTCATCCTTGGAACATGTGAACAAATTAGTGGCTGGAATTAGTTCAAGGCAACACAACATAAATAGGCCTTTAAAACATGTGAGACACTGTATGTCTCTTTCAACTGAACTGCAAATTACTTCAACAAAATAGATTCTGAGCTGCTGAAAGCAAATCCGACATCTTTCACTATGAGTTATAAAACTAATAGAGAAAAAGAGATTTATTCTCAATTCCATATGGCAGTTAATAAGCCTAGAAATGCCTTCACTTCATTAACTGATACTTTTTATCTGCAGCTTGGTGTGATTTTATAGAATTTGTGTTGATTTTATTAAAGATGTAGAAATGAATGCAATTTTGTATCATTGTGTTGTTTTTGTGTTTTTATATTTCTATATTTTAAGGTGTTACAAGTAGCTGTGTTATATCTCGTTTTGCATTTAAAATAAATTACAAAATTTTTAAATATAAAAAAGATGTAAGGATTGTCAGTAAAAGAAACATGAAATAGGTACTAGGATAATTCAGCCTAAAGATATTCAGCTGATTTGGGGGGAGGGGAAGGAAAATTTTAAAAAGTATCTACAAATCTTCCATTGAAAGCACTGGGATTTTAGACATGTTATACACACATTCATATATACATGTATGCACCATAGAAAAGATTGATCATGCCATTTAAAAATATTTCTGCGTAATTTTTCTTCAAAGTGGCTAATATCGCAGAGATAAAAGTAATTACATCAGTTTCAAATGGCATGTTGTTGTTGTTTAGTCGTTAAGTCATGTCCGACTCTTCGTGACCCCATGGACCAGAGCATGACAAGCCCTCCCGTCTTCCACTGCCTCCTGGAGTTGGGTCAAATTCATGTTGGTAGCTTCAGTGACACTGTCCAACCATCTTGTCCTCTGCTGTCCCCTTCTCCTCTTGCCTTTGCACTTTCCCAACATCAGGGTCTTTTCCAGGGAGACTTCTCTTCTCATGAGATGGCCAAAGTTTTGGAATCTTAGCTTCAGGATCTGTCCTTCCAGTGAGCACTCAGGGATGATTTCTTTCAAAATGCATAGGTTTGTTCTCTTTGCAGTCCAGGGGACTCTCAAGAGTCTCCTTCAGCACCACAATTCAAAAGCATAAATTCTTCGGCGGTCAGCCTTCTTTATGGTCCAGCTCTCACTTTCCATACATCACTACTGGAAAAACCATAGCTTTGACTATGCAGACCTTTGTCGGCAAGGTGATGTCTCTGCTTTTTAAGATGCAGACTAGGTTTGTCATAGTTAATCTGCCAAGAAGCAGCCATCTTTTAATTTTGTGTCTGCTGTCACCATCTGCAGTGATCATGAAGCCCAAGAAAGTAAAATCTGTCACTACCTCCATATCCCCCCCTTCTATTTGCCAGGAGGTGATGGGACCAGTGGCCATGATCTTAGTTTTTTGGATGTTGAGCTTCAGACCATTTTTGGCACTCTCCTCTTTAAGAGGTTCTTTAATTCTTCCTCACGTTCTGCCATTAGAGTGGTATCATCTGCATGTCTGAGGTTGTTAATATTTCTTCTGGCAATTTCAGTCTCCTCTTTCACCCTCATTAAGAGGTGCTTTAATTCCTCCTCACTTTCTGCCATCAGAGTGGTATCATCTGCATATCGGAGGCTGTTGATATTTCTTTCTAATTCCAGTTTGGTATTCATCCAGTCCTGCCTTTTACATGATGTATTCTGCATATAAGTTGAATAAACAGGGAGACAGTATACAGCCTTGTCATACTCTTTTCCCAATTTTGAACCATTCAGTTGTTCCATTTCCAGTTCTAACTGTTGCTTCCTGTCCCATGTATAGATTTCTCAGGAGATAGATAAGGTAGTCAGGCACTCCCATTTCTTTATGTACTTGACATAGTTTGTTGTGGTCCACACAGTCAAAGGCTTTTGCATAGTCAATGAAGCAGACATAGATGTTTTTCTGGAACTCTCTGGCTTTCTCCATAATCCAGCACATGTTAGCAATTTGGTCTCTAGTTCCTCTGCCACTTCCAAATCCAGCTTGTACTTCTGGGAATTCTCGGTCCACATACTGCTGAAGCCTAGCAGAATTTTGAGCATAGCCTTGCTAGCGTGTGTAATGAGTGCAGTTGTACAGTAGTTGGAGCATTCTTTGGCACTGCCCTTCTTTGGAATTGGGATGTAGACTGATCTTTTCCAATCTTCTGGCCACTGCTGAGTTTTCCAAACTTGCTGACATATTGAGTGTAGCACCTTAACAGCTTCATCTTCTAAGATTTTAAATAGTTCCACTGGAATGCCATCACCTCCACTGGCCTTTTTGTTAGCCATGCTTTTAAGCCCCACTTGACTTCACTCTCCAGGGTGTCTGGCTCAAGGTCAGCAACCACACTATCTGAGTTGTCCGGGACATCCAGATCTTTCTGGTATAATTCCTCTGTGTATTCTTGCCACCTCTTCTTGAAGTTTTCTGCTTCTGTGAGGTCCCTGCCTTTTTTGACCTTTATCATGCCCATCTTTACACAAAATGTTCCTTTAATATGTCCAATTTTTTTGAACAGATCTCTGGTTTTACCCTTTAGACCCTCTTGTCTCTCCTTGCTATTCTTTGGAAGTCTGCATTCAATTTTCTGT